ACATCCCCCCCCCCCCCCCCCTCAAAATAGACTGCAACAACCGTATTCATCAAATACTCGATGGTGGAGAAAAATAATTTCAAATTAGAAAACAAAAAAAAAAGATTATTATCGAGTATATAGCAATAATTATAAATGAAATCGAGCGTGCTTAAATGAAAAAAACAATATTTTCTTTTTTTAATATATATTTTTAATATACAAATAAATAATAAATTCCGGCTCTTTTCATCGATTCTCAAGGAAAACAACTATAGTTGACAAGAAGTCTTTCATTATACAGATGATGCGTCAGGTAACAAAGCTAAAGGTATACGTGAGTTCCACATTTCAGCTCCGTAGGAGCTGCGCTAACAAGCTTTTTTCTTTCAATCGACAGTCTTCCACCCAGCTAGTACCCGATGTTCCAAAAGGGTGGGTAGATATGTGTACGCTGACATTGACGTCAATCTCATTGTGCATAATTGTATGCTGGCCCGGATGAACTTTTGTCACGAATGCATCCAATGAAATTGATACCCTCACATTGACACTCTGCAATAAATCTAAGCAACCACACTATGGCGAGGATATCCATATGTACACAAAAAACAGGGGCTTATATTCAGTCTTCTGAGAGGTAATAAAACAAAGGTCATTCGTGACACTTTTGTGGAAACGCGCCATACTCCTTAAAACTTTTATTATAAGTTCGTTCGCTTACTGATACATCTGCCGACAATATTGTTTACTAGATTGTTCGCTAGAAAAATAGGACTTACTTGAACTTCTAGCTTACAATTAATCACATAAGGTCTGGTCTATAATCGAACTTCTATACTTGGAAGAAGCTCCTACTTATATTAGCCATCAGACTAGATAGGTAATTTGAATATATCCATATACATTTCGACATTTGAATCAGTATCAACAAGAAAGCATTCCACCTAGGAAACCCCCGTTTATTTCATTCAAATAGCATTCCGATAGAACGAATATAAGTTCTATAAATAATGTTTTCCCTCAAATGTACTATTCAAATATCGCAGACTTGTAGAAAAGGCGTTCTCACACTTCATTTCAAAATATTCCTCAGTTCTTAGCAACTGCTACTCCTTATTCAAACCCGTATGACCTAGACTCTTGAAGTCTATTTGATGAATGCCAGCAATTTGAAGCATTTCTTTAAGATACTTTCGAGTCCAGCGGCTAGCCGTTCGTCGGCGCCACTCCGGGGCGCCACTCACGACTAGCTGCTGCTATGCTTCGTTCTATATCTCCACAGCACTATCCTTCTTTATTTACACTTCATCTACTCACAAACTCGGCTTAATTCAAAAAACCATTAGAGCTATAGCATGAGAATTCTCGACATGAATTTCTAAACAAAAGCTTCGTTGTGTACTATTTCTGATTTCTTCAATTTCATCATCCAGTTGAAAAATCAGAGTTGTATCGAAATCCCTCATTAAGAAAATATTAGTGCAGTTTTCTCAAAAATGTCTGTTTGTAGATTAAAAAAAATTTTCGACACAAAAATATTTTTTGCGCTGTCACAAAAAAATAAGAAAGCTCGTTTCTGTTTGGTCGGTTTTCGATCAATGAACCCTCGGCTGAAAATTTGGGCTTCAGATTAGGATTCACGGCCCTCGATAACCTACAGCAAAGTTCACTCAAAACGAGGAATAGTCTTAACATAAGCTAATCTCTCTTATATGCTTTTTTGACCCCACTCAAGCAAGATTACAAACAAATGCATGTTATTTCGTATGACCTTCCCTTCAATTGAGAGAACTACTTGCAAAACAAAGATTTCGATTCCTTACTAACGTTCCATCAAAAGAGCAAAAATTCTTACAATAAAAATGTTGATTTCTGATTGATGAGCTCCCGACCAATGAAACGTCAACCAAAGAAATGTATTTCGGATTCGCATTCAGGTCCCTCGATGGCCTATATCAAATTTTCATCAAAACGGCGAAAAGCCTTAAGAACCAGTCCATGTAAGCAACGACCGAAGTTGCTCAATCGATATTATCAGAACTTGCTCAATTTAAGATATGTTATAAAGAAAAGAGCTTTATGATTTTTGACGCAAACCGGTTCAAAAACTATTGAATCCTCTATTCTTTTTATGAGCATTATACGAAAAGGCCTAAAAATGACTATATATATAAATGGGGGTCCTAATGCAATGATATCTCATGAATGGTTCAACCAAATGAGCTGAAAGTTTTTATTATCATGCATCCCAATGAACTCTATTTTCCATAAAATTTTTGTTTTAAAATATTGATCCATTGGAATTTTATGAAGCACTCAATATACGAAAAAAAGTCCATTTATGGTAACTTTGGCACTTTATAACTTTTTATAGAAATTATGTATGGCTCTCAAATTTTTACTAATAATAGGAAACTAAAAGTTGTATCTCTCCTGAAAATTTCAGCTATTCATATCGTTTTATTTGCTCACAGTAGCCCCGTGAACAAATGAAATTTTGATTAATGTGGGGACTTTCAAGATAGGCTTTCTCCCAAGATATCGATTATGTAGGATGTTGGTTATTAGAATCTGGAAGTACTCTCTTTGGGCTACAATTCTGTAAAAGAATCAGCCTGGGATCTCCAACAACGGCTACAGGGCACTCATTGCTAAATATGAAAAAGTGAACGTTTTTCTATGGGAAATCTATTCAAGTGCAATTCACAGTTCCTCCAAGGAAATAAGTATGTGGTATAAAATTTATCTAGTAAAAATCAGCATGAAATTCTCCATTGCCCTATATCAAAATATCCTTTCAAACTGAAAAAGAAAATTTTAAGGAAAAATCCCCCTACCCCCCTCCAGGTCTTTCTTTAATATTTCATTCTCACAACCCTGTACACCCCTAGGACAATTTTTCGTAAAAATTTTTTTTTTCATTTTCAAAGGATATTCCGATACAGACTAATAGAGAATCAGATGCTGACTTTTACCATATAAAATTTATGTCACATAGCAGAATCCGTGAAGGAATTTCGAAGTACACTTGGAGTAGATTTTGTATAAAAAAGGCTCATTTTTTTGTATTTTGCAATGAGTGCCCTGGAGTCACTCTTCGAGATCCCACGCTAATTTTTTTACAGAACTGTAGCCCAAAGAGAGTACTTCCAAGTTCTAATAACCAACGCCCCAGACAATACATATCTTGGGACAAAGCGTATCCTGAATGTCCCCACATTTAGCAAAATGCTGTTTTTTCACGGGACTATCCTTAGCAAACGGAACGGTATGCATAGCTGAAATCTTCAGAAGAGATACATCTTTCAGTGTCCTATTAACACTGAAAATTTGAGAACCATGTATTATTCCTATCAAAAGTTATGAAGTACCAAAGTTACCGTCTTCAAGCAATTTTTTGAACAAAATGTTTTTTTGACCCCAAAAAAATTTCAGGTGTTTTCAAAAAAATTTATTTTTTCTCAACAAGTCTGTTTCTTCATTAAAAAAAATTTTCAAAAAAAATTTTTTTTTTGAAAAAAGTTTTGGGGAGTATTCGAAAGAAATTATTTTTTCTAAAAAAGTCTGTTCCCGCATGAAAAAAAATTTTCGAAAAAAAAATGTTTTTTTGACCTCAAGCAAGCAAACAAGAAAACAAACGCATTTATTTCGTATGACCCTCCTTACAGTCGAGGGAATATTTCGAGAGCTTGTTTGAGTTCCAGTAGGATTTATTCCAAAAAAATTTTGTAAAACTTTCGACAACATATTTTTTCTCATCTAAATTTTAATCGCAATACGAAAATAAAGAACTCATTAGAAAAACAATCGATTTGTCTTTTAGTATAGTCTGTTCTCAAAGTTTTGTCTAGTTTTACATATTTCTTTTGTTTCAATGAATTGCTAAATTTCATTAATATGCATGGAACTTTTTTTTTTGAATTCCTACGATTTATTCAGACTACTTTGTATTTCTTTAATAACAACTATTTATTGTATTGTAAAGATAAATGTCTACCAGAATTCCGATTAAGATCAAGTTTATTTAGAGAAAAAAAAACAAGCACGTTAAAATAATAAATTTAAAGCATTTTCATTTTTTTAAGTTTCCTTTTTATTTAAATCGACATGCAATGCTATTGAAAAACTACGAAATTCTCGTAAAACATCTTCTATAACACAAATCTCCTGAGAATTTCGTATTAATATACTTTTTCACGTGTACGACAGATAAAAATCTCTTCAACAATGACGATTTAAAAAAGTTTTTTTTTTCATTGTAGTTATTTCCACTATTCCAATCGATGCTCAATGGTCACAGAATGGAAGGACTGTTGCTGGAGGGAATGGAAAAGGCAGAGCCACAGATCAACTCAACCAGCCTTTTAGTCTAGTCATTGATGAAGATCAAACGATGATTATTGCTGACTACTCGAATCATCGTATCGTCCAATGGAAGATGGGTGATAAGAATGGACAAGTAGTAGCCGGTGGAAATGGCGACAGAAATCGATTGGTTCAATTGTATTATTTAACTGATGTGCTGATCGACAAAGAGACTGATAGTCTCATTATCGGCGATCCGTGGAATCGACGAGTTATACGATGGGCTCGTTGTAGTGATTCAACTCAAGAAGAAATTCTCATTGACAACATCCGATGTTGGGGATTATTTATGGATGATCAGAGATATCTCTATGTCTCTAGCAACGAAACACATGAAGTAAGACGATATCAACTAGGAGACAAGAATGGAATTATCGTGGCTGGTGGAAATGGTCCAGGTAGTGCTCTCAACAGACTCAACTCTCCGTCCTATATCTTTGTCGATCAACAACAGAATGTCTACGTATCAGACTCGAACAATCATCGTGTAATGAAATGGAATAAAGGTACAAAAGAAGGCATTGTTGTTGCTGGAGGTCAAGGTCAAGGAGATTCTCTGACACAATTGTCTTTTCCTTATGGACTCTTGGTCGATACATTGGGTACCATCTATGTGGCAGATTTGTTCAATAATCGAGTCATGCGTTGGACTCAAGGAGCACAAGAGGGTACTATCGTTGCCGGTGGAAATGGTGAAGGAGAAGGAGCAAATCAGTTCAGAAAACCCGTGGGTTTGTCTTTCGATCGACAAGGCAATCTCTATGTCGCCGATTTAGACAATCATCGTGTTCAATTTTTTTCAATTCAATGAATTCGAAACGATTGATTGAAGTTTTTTTGTTCGCTTTCTCTTTCATTTGAAATAAATCGCACCGCTTCGAATTCATTGCTCAATTTTTTTCTTTCTTATACACGCGCGTGCGCGACTAGGAATCACCCTGGTGGAGCCATGGCGAGCGTAACGCTCATCACGCATAGGATAGACACCATCTCATCCATAACACACCATCGTGTACTATGCCCATGGAGGGTGTGGGTGTGAGTGTGAGTGTGAATGTGGGTGTGGATGTGGGTGTGGGGTGTGGGTGGGTGTAGGTGTGGATGTGGGTGTGCTGGTGTGGGGTGTGAGTGTGGATGTGGGTGTGTGGGTGGATGTGGGTTCGAGTGTGATGTTTTATTCGTTTACATTCACACCCACAACCCGATCTATGAATTCTCTGAAAAAAGTTCGTACCACTAACTTATTATTGCTGAAATACTGCCTTATTACTGTATGTTGAAGAAAAAAGAGCTGTGGTCCCTCTCAGGGATATTTGAAAAACTAAATTTCGCATTTCGACTTCAAGCTTTGCATTGAAATATGTGTCAATGAAAATAGTTTGTTATGAAACTTTTAGCTCTTTTCGCAGTTTCTATCATAAAATACAGTTATCCTAAAGTAGCCTCTAAACACTGACAGACACGATGTTCTTATCTTAAACTAGGAGCAACCAAAGCATCTGAAACCTTCATAATAAACTATTCTCACTAAGGCCAATCTATATGAAAAGTCTCGGGTGAAAACTCAAAACTCACTTTTCCTGATGTTCCTGAGGGGGCACCACGGCTTTTTCCAAACCACATATTGAAAATGTTGTACCTCAGCAGCAAGAGGCTAGCAGGATTAACTCTTTCCAGAGAACTCATAGCTCATAAGGGCCTAGCGTATGCACTGGTTCAGTGAACACCAGCATCAGTGCAGAAAGTGGAACCAGTGCAGTCAGTGAACTCAGTGTCAGTGTGCCACTGCAGACAGTGCGCTCATTGTCAGTGTGTCACTGTTTCCAGCGAAACTGCACATCCCTAATACTGAGGGAGTGGGTGGGTGTGGGTGTGGCAGTGGGTGTGGGTGTGGGAGTGAGTGTGGGTGTGGGTTTGGGTGCGGAGTGGGTGTGGAGTGTGGGTTGCGGACGTGGGGTGTGGTGTGGTTGGGTGTGGATGTGGGTGTGGACGTGGGGTGTGGTGTGGGTAGGTGTGAGTCTGGGGGTAGATGTGGGTGGGTGTGGGTGTGGGGGTAGATGTGGGCGGGTGTGGGTGTGGGGGTAGATGTGGGTGGGTGTGGGTGGGTGTGGGTGTGGTGAGTATGGGTGTACGTTTCTAGTCCCGACTCAAATCGTTACCCACACCCACATCTCACACCCACTCACACCCACGCCCCACACCCACATCCACATCCCACACCCACTCACACCCACACCCCACACCCACACCCACATCCCACACCCACACTCACACTCACACCACCCACACCCACACTCACACCACCCACACCCACACACACACCCGCACCCTCACCCTCACTCACACCACCCACACCCACTCCCGCAATCACCACACCCACACCCACACCCACACCCACACCCACACCCACACCCACACCCACACCCATCATTCGATTATTTTTCATAGCCATACACTCATCTCAAAAACAGAACCAAAGCTGAGCAGTTAAACTTCGCGCAATTCACAGGTCTTCCCAAATATTTTTCATTTCAATTCAAATTATTGATTCTGCCGAATTTGATTTTTGCATCCCCCACTTTAATTCATTGATCTGAAAAATTTTGTCAATTCCATTCAACGCGAGTTATGAAATGAGTTGCTCAACTATGAATCAAACGTGTAGTAACATGTTAGTAATATACACGATAAAAAAATTCAATCTACCTTCATAAGAAACTCGTCTAACGACGGCATGTTCTGTGAAAATAACATGTGAAGATTGTTTTTTAGTTTGCGAACAATTTCGAACCGTTTTTTTGTATATTTTGAATTTCTGAAGTTGAATAGATATTTAAAAAATCTAGCTATGATTGCCTACACTGAATTGACATCATTACTAAGAATGAGTGTTATTGAAAAATATATTAGAATATATGCGTCAATTTTTTTTTCTAGCACAATTACAATATGAGTCGGGGACACTCCCTGCAAGTCATTTTTAGCATTATGTTCTTAAATAGATTTAGACAGAGTTACTTTACATGATTGATATCGAAATATAATGAGGAAGAATGAAAAATAAATAAATTTAATAAAATTATTTAAATATTTTTACTAATGATGTGTTCTGTTAACAAGAGTTTTAGCTGAGTACGATAAATTTTTAACAACAACTTAGATGTTACAGATTACTACGTGTTTCGTCTATCTATTCAATTTTGTATATTCAAAAACTACCAAAATAAAATCACAAAGGGTTCTAAACTTATATTATGTGAGTGCAAAAAAAGTCAGAAAACATTTGATTGGTCGCAAATTATTTCTTGACATTTTTTGTGACGTTACTATTCACAAATATTGCACTAGGATAAGTAATATTGTTAAACATAATCTCTTCTAAGTGTCTATTGTTCGCCTAATATCACTAATCTTTGCTCGTTGATTTAAGCCATCAAATAGATGAAAGTTCAAGAATAGAATTAAACGATTGTGACTCATATTGATGTTATTTTCAACGCTTAGCTATCGACCTATCACTATACATTGTGTTAATGTACTTTATCGCAATGCAAAAAACATAAATGATGTGGGTGTGAGTGTGGATGGGTGGCTGTGGGATGTAGGTGTGTGTATGGATGTTGTTGTTCAAGAGTTGACAAACGCCCGCACCCACACACCCTAGGCCACTGGTTATATCCACAAACGAGTTTGTTCTGAAGTAAAATATCACAAAAATTTCGGCTTAAACACAATGTTTTTCTTTTTAGGATTTTAAATTCCAAAAAAAATTACTCTTATCCCACGAAAGGTGCTAGAATTTTCGAATTTTATAGACTTTAATATCTCAGAAAGAAAAATATTGTGTTTAAGCTAAAATTTTCATGATATTTTACTTTGAAATAAACTAGTTTGGGGCTATAATTGCTACTCGAAATATTGTCATTCGGTTTTTGGTATATATACACTATATCTATATCTTACAATGGAGGTGCCTGTGTTGTAAGTTAAATCGACTAGACATATTCGGGTCAAATGAAAGCCCTCACCGTCAAACTAATAAGGTTAAAATATTAGCGACAGTTGGCTTACCTAGAGGGAGATATTCAAATTTTTAGGTATTTACAGTGTATGTAAGATAGCCACAATTGAAAATTTCGACCAAGTTAGTTTCTTTTTTTGTGGTGGTTGGATAGAGCTCGTCGAGTTGCATTAGAAAAAGTATGTTTGAAATTTTAAAAATGGAGTTTAAAAAAGTTTTAGAAATAGGTTCCAGTTACCATTATTTTCAAATATTAGGAAAAATAGACCCAAATTTGTGACCTTCGTAAAAAGTACTTTTAAGCCCATTTTTAAAATTTCAAACATACTTTTTCTAATGCAACTCGACGAGCTGCTCTATTCAACCACCACAAAAAAAGAAACTAACGTGGTCGAAATTTTCAATTGTGGCTATCTTACATACACTGTAAATACCTAAAAATTTGAATATCCCCCTCTAGGTAAGCCAACTGCCGCTAATATTTTAACCTTGTTAGTTTGACGGTGAGAGCTTTCATTTGACCCGAATATGTCTAGTCGATTTAACTTACAACACAAACACCTCCATTGTTAGTGGAAACTATGCTATGCAACAGAGCTCGAGTTCAAGAGTGATTGAGCGGTTAAAAAAGCTTGCTAGAGCAGTTTTTTTGTCACTATTTACTTCATAAAATATATGTGAGTTCCATTAAACGTTCTGTTCACACGTATGCACAAGTTACTATATGATACTAAGTTAATCATATCGAGAAACATTGGGAAATAAACAAAACCTAAAGATTTTTAGAGGGATTGATGAACAGATAGTAAAGAAGAATAGTCAAAACTCTTGTGTTCGATTCAATACTGTCTATATCTGTCTCTTCTAATATTCAAAGTATACGCTGACCTACGTTAACATACAATATTCTTTAGAAAAAAAATTAGTGAAATCTGATTCATCTTGAAAAGTTAGTCATATATTCCACTATTTTTTGTTTATTGATATTGTCAGCTGTTTTCAACATCTAGCCCTTGTAAGTAGGAACTGAAAATACAAATAGTCCTAGACAAAAGTGAAAATTTGAGAGGGAGAACAAACATCTTCAGACTACGGTGTAAGAGGACTAGAGCATGGGTTTAATTCAATTATGACAATAGACTGCGAGCTGTTTGATTAAGTAAATCTTAGAAATTTAGAATGGAAAATAGAAAGGTCCGAATCTTTTACAAAATAATATTATAGGAAGATTTTCGTCTGCGCATGTGTTGCACAATAATTGTCAGAGCAGAACTTAGAAAATGATAAAAGATGATAACACGATTGAATCCAGTCGAGGGTTAAGCGAGTCCTGCCGACGAGCGTTACTTGTTCAAAGTTGACGGAAAATTAACGAATCGTCAACTATTCAATTAGAACAGCAGATGATGCATTGAATGCTCAGTTACGCATGCAAGTTTGACGTCCAAGAAGAGATTAGAAGTCATTATTAGAACTTGAATTTTTTAGCTTAAATTATGAGCAATGTTCTTTGATTTGTCCACAACGAATGCTTCCTTTTTTTCTTACATCCAACATTACTCCTCATTTCTGCACTTTTTCATAATAATAAATAGCTAGATATCGTCTTGTATAACAATGAATTTTTCTATATACAAGTAGATTCTATGAATAGATCTCTCATTCGTTCATATGGGACGTCGATATTGAATTGCTTCTAACTCTAAACAGTGACATGTTTCTTCTTCAATCGAATGTATCTATGCTGCTTCTATGCATATACGTGGTGAAGATCTTAAATATTGCACATG